TATAGGACACGCAGTAGCATTTGGTGAAAAAGTGCTCCAACTTCAACCACAACGACAGTATGTATATGCAGTGTTGACGGATTGTATTATCATACGAATCTTTAGAATAGCTAGAGGAGAAAATAATCGATTTTCGTATAGATACATGGCATCCGAGTCATTAACATATAATACTTCCGAACCTCCAAATGGTTGGAAATATTTGGTGACAATTATGCAGAATTCTCCGGACCAGTTGGGATGGATTGAGCCTTCAATAAATTTTGCAGATGGAAATACTATAACAACTGTAACATTAGTTCGATCTATCAGTGCGGGTAGAACTAGCATTGTGTATGAAGGAACCCTTGAGAATAGTGAAAGCTCTGTAGTCGTGAAAAAAGCAAAAAACGCACAATACTTACATTGCTTTACCAACGAAAAGAATGTATTGACTAGACTATCAGACCTGAATTCACCTTATCTTCCGAAACTCCTTCTGAGCAACGATGATACTCTTGTTATGACTCCTCTATGCAATAAAGTCAATAATCTGCAAATAAAAGATATTGAAAACATCATTAAAACCCTTGAGACAGTACATTCAAATTTTCAGCTCATACATATGGATCTTCGAAAGTATAACTTCCTTCGTGATGATGATAGTAACATTTTAATTATTGACTGGGGATATAGTAAAACGCAAGGTGAAAATGCGCCATTTGCAGGAGCTCTTGAGTGTATGCCTGATAATATCCTTCAATCATTAATTAATGAAGAACAAATTAATTATGAACCAACGATTGATTTGATGTGTCTGGTCCGGTCACTTTATCTGATGCTTCATCAACCATTATCGATTGAGAAGGTCTCTTTTGATAGGGTTCCAGAAAACTTCAAGAAACGAGCGCAAGATATATTAGATTTTTGGGCTGTTAATGGAAAATCCGAATGGTGGAACAAAATCAGTTCAGACGCCGAGAATTTGAAATATGATGACTTACTTAAAGATATTAAAAAGTTGTTCTGATATTTTGTTATAGTTAATTAATTATTGATTAATTTAGATTAAATAATATGAATATTTATTTTTAGAGTAATAATAATCATTGCTAAAATAATGAGTATCTTTGCATGTAAATCGTATTTGCGTTTTTTTTTTCGATTGTTCATTTTTGAAAAATTAATAAAGAATTAGTGTGCTCATGTAATGTTTTAACTGAGTATGCTATTCTTTCATGCGGATGGTAATTGTATAAATACATTATATATATACAGTATTTTTTTGATTAAAATTTTTCTAGGCAAAAATTTACGTGACTTTTTAACCATTTGTTAGGATCTTTACCAGAAAAAAAAAATAATCATGTATACTATCATGTATCACGGGCTATGTCCTGAATCCCGATTATTTAATAAAGTATCATGACCGTGATTACTGTCATGTCTCAAAGTTTATCTGTAGAAGAGATTCATGATATTATCGCTTCCAGAAATATACCCAATGCCGTGCAAGTTTTATCAAAGAAGTATCACATATTATATGCATGCATCATAAAATTTGGAATTCGCTGTGACAATAAATAATTAGCACGGATTGCTCATGTCTATAAAATTAATAAGGTTTTATTTAATGAAAGTATTCAGTAATAATGTTTAGATTGACAAGTTCGAGGCTTTTGCATGTGTATTTTGGGATTTTATTTTAGTATTTTAATATCGATTTGACCTTCGGATTCGATTTAAATTCGGATATAAAACCGAATCTATCAAATCTGCAATACTCACATTGTCTGTACAAAACAAAAGTATTCGTCCACCTATAGAAATTCTACAACTATAAAATAGTTTTTTTCTTAAGTGATCGAATATTTTTCACTGTGTATTACGAACGTACAGTGCATACAATGATGCTACCATCAACCTAGGCACAACCGGATATTATCGAATAAATTCGGATTAAAATCCGATGCATATTTTTATTAATTAAATAAATTCCGAATCGAAAAGCGAAAACCGGTTCCAAACTCTAAAAGTGATCTCCATTCAAATTGGAACGGACACAATGTTTTTATTTTGAATATATCCGCATTTTATGTAAAACAATGGCAGATTCACAAACTACAATTGCTTTGTTAAGAGAATTAAATTCTAAACTCACAATCGAGATTACCGAACTTAGAAAGAAGTATGCTAAGATTGAGGTTGACAATATAAAGTTAAAGCAGATTATAGAAAAAAATGCTGAATTTAAGACTAGATTCGAAAAACAAGATAGAAAAAATAAAACAGATATTGCAAATCTTATAAGTGAGAATACCAAACTCAAATCTAGGGTTTCAAAATTGGAACAAAAGTTATCACAAAATGACAAAGAAAAAGGCAACCTTATTGCTAAATTAGATGATGATACTGTATCTTACAAAACAAATTCTGATGATACCCCCAAAAAGATAGAAAATATATCCATCAATATTTCTAATTCTGATATATACCAGGAGTTGATTCAATACTCTGAGCCACTTATTTGTACAGTTTTTAAATCTTCTGAAAATAAAGAGATCAAAACTATTAGCAATGGAATAAGAGAGAGAAAGTGGGAAAAGAAGCTTCAAGCCCAAAACTCTTTATCATATAATAAAGATAATTCATCATGTGATATAAAAACCATTTCTTAGGGAAATGATCATGATAATTCATTGTGCAATATAAACACCATCTCCCAGAGAAATGATCATAATATTATTGAAAGTAGTGTAGATATTGCTTTCCAAATAAGCAATCAGCAAAAAACTATTCTGAATACTCCTTTATTGGCAGAAGATCTTGACGATTCAGATGAAATTGAGCTTACTAAAAATTAGAATATAGAACTGGATTTAATACAAGATTTACAGAGTGGTAGTATTATTGCTTCACCTACTGAAGATAGCAAACAAAATTCATCTATAGAATCATCTCAAATTACAACACAAAGCTTAATCTATTTGTTTTGAAATGCAATATGATCTGGGCATGAAGAAATTTTATCTTGGACTTGTTATTTAGATAATTTTGAAAGTAAAGTTGCTAAAATTTGTCATGAGACAGGGGTTGATAATAAAACTACAAGAACTTAAATATACAAGAAATTTTAAAACATCTATCTGGCATTACACCAGTTGTCTTGCGAATTAAAACTCTTAAAGCCAAAAAATTTCTAAGTTATTTAAAGAAAATGGAGTTGGAATGGATAAAATAAAGTATGTCACCTGTACTGCAAATGATATTTTGAAACTGACCAATGCTCAAATTCAAAATATTATAAATTAAGTGAACTCAAAAAGTGTCTTATCACAAAATAAACAAAGTCATATGATTTCAAAAACTGTTTTTCAAGGAAACAATCAGACTAATTCATCTAAAGTAAATACTTTGGCTAAGTCATTAATCTCTAGCCCTTCTAGCTTAAAAAAATTACCAGATGCGAAGGTAAGTATACTATCAATATCTTGATCCAAAAAGAATATACCAGTTATTCCATATGATGCTTGTGCCACCTATATTAATACAATATTAAAGCAGTATTCTTATCTATTCTTACATCATAGCGATGAATTTAATGATTGCTATGAATTCAATAACTCAGGGGTATGTGAGCAAGAGCATAGTAAAGGGCATGTATTTAATATAGCTGATCAATGCACAAATGGTTCTTACTATATTAAATGCCAGAACTTGCTCTATAAAAAAGAAATTAAGGTGAGTATATCATTCACATCTCAGATCTTGGATTCTTCTAATTCAAAAAAATTACCAGAGCTTCTTATCAAAAATGAATCTGATATAGATACTCTTATCCTTCTTTTACAACAAAGGTTCAAAATGTCTCAAAAAAAGTTAGAACAATAGAGAGATAAGATTGTCTTTGAATTGTGAGATAATCAGAAATATTGAAAAGAAGAACGTGAAAGTATGAGTAAGACTGATTTCTTAGAACACAAGTGAAACTTTGAGACTAAAATAGAAGTCCCCACTACTCCATTCAAAAAAGAATTAAAAAATAAATCTTTAGCTCTCATTAAATATGGGTAACTTTGCCAAAAGCAGTCACAAGATAGCTAGAGTAACACCTTATTGCATAATAATGACACATCATGCCAGAACTCCTCTTTATTTCATGCTACACAATAGTGTAAATCATATTTCAAAATAATAGTACTTCGTTCTAGAAACCTTGTTTTATTAATATAAAAACTTTACCAAAGTAAAGACAAAAAAATAAAAAAATTTTTTTTTCTATATCAATCAATCTTGCCCCAATCATATCTTTTCTAATTACTACAATCAGCATTACCA